TTTCCGACCAGTCATATTGAAGTGTGACATGACCGCATTTGATAGGCTAGAACATCACTTGCACACGTGGCGAGATTTTATTGTCCTTTTAATGTGACTTCGCATGCCTTGTCATTTTGACACGTAGCATGATCCTATTGGCTTTTCCATTTGACTTGGCGCGCCACTTCATTTGACAGTGGCACCAAACTGGGCCTCTAGGAAGATGATATGTTGGGCCTAATAAAGTGGGCTTATTACTTGTAGCCCAATTCAATGGGCTAACCCAATAGATTTAGACTTCTTTATTTAACTCATACGTATTGGATTGACATAATTAATCCAATTATATTAGCCCATAATATTCATTTGGGCTTATATATCTTGAATTTAAAATATAATCTAAATTATTTTATCGATTTAAATTCGTTACAATTTTAATGCTTACAATTGTTGCTTAACGTTAACATAATAACCTTAATTATAATTCACCAATATATGGCTATTTCTTCAATTCTATAATTAATTTCTTATCTGTATGGCCAGCAATTAGGTTCTATTTACTATCTATGCTATGCTTGGGAAAGCCATAACTTTGGGTTGTGATTTAGCCATGAAAATTATTGCTTAACGTTGACTTAACCTTAATTATAATTCACCAATATATTGTTGTTTCTTCAATTCTTTGATTAATTTCTTAATTGTAAGGCCAGTAGTTAGGTTCTATTTACTATCTATGCTATGCTTGAGAAAGCCATGTATAAATTAGAGAAGAACTAAAGAGAGCACAATCCTAACTCTGAGGGGGACAAATTTGTGATTAAGATAGGCATATACCCAGTCACAGTGCTTAATTAAATATTGTAATTTTAAAGTTTAATTGGATAGTAAGAGTCCTAACGCCAATGGAACTGTCCTTTGAAACAAATACTTACCTCAATTTGAACTCATTTAATTTAAATTATATCTTTAATTTTATCAGCTGTCACAACACAGTTTATTTTCTCCTAAAATAAAATAAAATTGAAGATTACTTTTTATTTTTATTTCCATTTTTCTTTTTCCATCATATGAAATTACCTGGCAATCATATCAAAAATCAAAATCACAGTGGAAAAATGCGGCGCCACCAATAATTGGACGAGCCAATGTCACACGTGTCCAACAATTATTGGCTACCGCTTCCGCCACCAAATCAAGACTTGCGACTCCTCTTTTTTCATCTTCTGTCATCTCTATCGTTGAAAATCTTTTCACCAAAAAAGATTCACAACTTTTATGGTTTAATTTTTTCATGAATATTTGATTTTTAGTTTTCCGTTTTATTGATTTGATTTTTCGAAATGGATCAATTAGATTCATTTCGAGATAACAGTTGGGACTTAATTGATATAAACAGTTTTATAGATGAAGCACCTTCAGATTTCTTTTGGAATCATCAAATCCAGAACCAGAACCAAAAGTATTTTTTATTTATATCCTTTTCCAATTACTGCTTTATTTATTAATTAGCTTGTAAATTTTGTTATCTTATGTGCTTTTTGTAATCTTAGTGGAGTTTAATCTTGTGGGTTTTTTATACAGATTAATTTTCAAGTTTAGATTAAATCTAATTACTGCTTTATTTTTTTACATTTGCTTGTAAAAATCTAATCTTTTTATATGCTTTTGTTCTATGTTTGTTCAATGTAATCTTAGTGCTGCTTAATATTGTGTTTTTTTTTTATACAGCTTAATTTTCAAGTTTAGCCTGTAAAAATTTGATGTTGTATAGGATTTTATGATATGCTCATTCAATTTATCTCTTAATATAGCTTGATTTTGGTGGGGCTTGTTTTTTGTTTTGATTTTTGTATGTTTTAGTTATCACTTAATACAGCTTAATCTTGATGGGCTTTTATTTTTTGAAAGGAATAAGTAAAAAAAAAAAAAAAAAAAAAAAAGAGAGATTCCATAATCTTATTCAAAATCACCTATCATGCTGGTTAATTAATCTTGTTGGTCTAGTTACAAATAATGTTATATTTACTTGTGTTTGCATGTTATGATTATTCAAATTATCTCCAAAATGCCAGATTGTTTGATTGTTTAGGGTTTGATTTCTTATATTTTCATATGTTTGATGTAATGCTCATTTAGGTGTAACCGAAAAGTCCACTTTTTAATGCAACTATATACTAAAAAAGATGCAAGTTTACTGTTCACATGTAGCTTGTTGCAATAGAAAACATTGAATCATCTCATAATCATCATCTCATTGTGCTTCTTATATCTATTTTCCTGTTAGCTAAGAGCTGAATCTTGGAGTTCCTGAATTTCCTTTTCTTCCTCTTATTGCCTTATTATTTTTCATTCTTCCTTCACCTCGATCCTCATTCACACTCTCGTGGAATGATCTCCTGTACCACATTAGATCTCTTTTTCTTATAGTGTCAGGAGAGGTTTTACCACAATAGGGGAATCGTGTAAGCAGAGGCAGATCTAGGATTTAAGTTTTATGGGTTCAACATGTAAAGTTTTTAGCATTGAACCCATTGTATTTTTAAAATTATGGGTTCATGTTGCTTTATATTGCAATATTAATAAAAAATTTCACATAAATTTATGCTCCGCACCAAAAGTACCGTTAACGATACCTTGCATCCGCCTCTGCGTGTAAGAGATCGTGAAATCTGACAAGTTCTGATTTGAGCATTTTTTAAGCGCATGACCGCCATTTGTTACATGAGAATTGAGAAGAAGAAAAAAGTAAAGGCGGGAAAGGCTTATGATCTTTTTTTCTCTATTGGTTTTGTCTACACACTCTTTCTCTTGTAGCTATGCTAAAGGAGAAATGAAAAAAATGTTCTTTTCGAGAATTTTACTAATTGGGTAGCTGGACGAAGTGAAACGGAAATTTCCATCCTAACGTTCTTGTCTTTCTTGTTTTCCCCGATATACTGGGATTGATGATTTTAGCTTGCATTAATTTGTCGCGTTCAAACTGATGATATAGGCCCTGTTCCATAAATCTTGTTTATAAATTTGACTATTTCTCATTGATCCTTGTGTTGCAGAGCTGTTGCAGCACTCGAGGCACCTCTCAGCAGTGCTACATTTCAGGAAGAGTGTATAGAAACAGAATGCCCTCGAAAGAGGTAAATGCAGATACTTTTAAATCTATATCATTCTTAAAAGGTGGAAAATGATGCATATGCTTGGATTAATTCATGGGAATGCCTAGCTTTGCCATGATTATAGTAAGGGAATAAACACCAAGTGAATTAGTATGTTGATGTGTTTAAAATCATAGAAATGGGAGGGATCGGGTTTCTCAGTTTGGTATTTTGGTGTAAATTCCAGCACTACTTAATAGTCAATCAGGTCATGGAAACTAAAGTGATATCTATTCGCATTTCTTTTACTGAGGCTTCTTATGTTGTGTTCTTTTAACAGAGGCCGAAATGAGTCTTGCAGCAAACAAGGTAGCAAAGCCTGCCGTGAGAGAATAAGAAGGGAAAAGTTGAATGAAAGGTATCTTCATGCTCATGTGATTTTCACTCTCGCATTCAAAAACACGTATTTCTGTTATTTTCTACCATACACAGTAACACCGACGTTGTAGATTAAGCATGGATGTAGCTCGTTGCAATTTTATAGCTGCCTTGTTCTCGTACTGGTTGGGCAGTCTTACTTGGATCTTCCATTTGTATAAACTCTTCTAAGTATAGCCGAGTGTATCAAAAAGAGGCCATTATAATTGAGAAGGATATACATCATACATAGAGAAGGATGACGGGCACTCCTAGAAGGAGAAGTGTCATAATCTGCGTGGCACTTAAATCACTTTACAACTAGTTATAATGTCCTAAGGTGATGACTAGGTGTTCTGGATCAATTTATTTGAATCTTGTTTAACTTCATGCAGGTTTTCAGAGCTATGCTCGGTTCTGGAACCTGGGAGACCTGTAAAAACAGACAAAATGGCCATACTTGGCGATGCTATTCGTGTTTTAAACGAACTGAAGACTGAATCTGAGGAATACAAAGAGATGAACCAAAAGCTTATGGAAGAGATCAAGACGTTGAAGGTTAGATATGATTTTTCCCTTGTTAATGGTACTGGGAAGGTCGAAAGGCTGAAGTAACTTGTAAAATACTGTGACTGTCAGTTCTGAGTACTAACTCTATGCCACTTCCTCTGCCGTAATTAGAAGAAACTTTGAGTTGCTACTCTTGAATACTTGAATTCCTTCCTCTGATCTAGTGTACAATCTAACAGCCAACTTTTTTTCTTATAAACAGGCAGAGAAGAATGAACTTCGTGAAGAGAAACTCGCACTGAAAGCAGAGAAAGAGAGGATGGAGCAAGAGTTGAAAGCTACGGCTACACCAGCAAGTTTTATTCCACCCCATCCAGCAGCATATCAGCCTGCAGTAAATAAGATGGCAGTTTTCCCAAGTTATGGATATGTGCCAATGTGGCAGTATCTACCGCCATCTTCCCGGGACACATCTCAAGATCATGCGCTCAGGCCTCCTGCTGCTTGAGAATCTTGCAAGATGATGTATGGCATATACCCCTTAATTCGTGTAAATAGTGGTAACATGTTAATCTATTTTTACTTTTACTCATCTCTGCCTCCTTTTGTTTGCCTCTACATTTTCTCGATATTTAATTTGAGGGAGGTGCATGCATGGCAGATAATTTATCTAGGTGGAATTGGATTTGATTTACATCTGCTACATGACTTTTGCCCTTTTGGCTTCTGCATTTTTGTTTGTCTCTTGCAATAATTTGACATTCTAATTTTGGTTTATCCGAACTATGTGATACAATTGATTATGAGCTTTTTAATTTTTGGATTCTTATAAGTCTTGACAAACTTTTACCTTATCAAAAAAAAAAGTCTTGACTGAAGTATGAATGAACGGCTGCTATTTTAATATGCCACATCTTACATAACTAATTGAACATCCCAAACTAAGGAAAGAAAAAGAAAATCATGTCTTCCGTAATTTGGAGGTGAGCATACGTGAGATTAGGTATGGAAGTCATGTTGTTTCTCACCAGATAAAGGGCAGAGACCAGTGGCGGAGCCAGAATTTTCACTACGGGGTGTCAAAATATATAGAAGTAAACCTACGAAGAAGCCAAAGGGAGTCAATATATAGTATCTATTCATAAGTTTGAAGGATAAGATGAAAAGGTTGCTTACCTGCCTGTGTAGAGCTTTTCACCAAGGACGAAATATGCTAGAACTGCAACTAGTATGGTTGAGAGTGGGTTGAACACCGTTGCGAAAACAGGTCCCTTTTGCTCAGTGCACCACAGTTGTATGTAGACTACTAAACCAGAGACCACTATTCCCTATTTCAGTTGCACAGATTCTAATCAAAATGTGCAAGTGCTGAATTGTTTTTTTGAAGAGAAACTATTGGACCCTTCTTACCCCATACATGGTAGACTAGAAATCAATGTTGAAACCCATGGTCCAAGCTGTTCTTTTGTGTTATAGGATTACTGTGTATAAAGCTGAGGTATTATCTTTCTGGCTTCTGATACTGTTAGTGATCAACTGTCTCTTTTCGCCTTCTTGAGCCGAGGGTCTATCGGAAATAGCCTCTTTACTCCTCTGGAGTAGGGGTAAGGTCTACGTACACAGTACCCTCCCTTGACTCGACTTGTGGGATTTACTGGGTTGTTGTTGTTGTGTAGAAAGCTGATTGTGCTGCACCGACAAAACTCATCCATGTAGTCAGTGACAGTTGTACTGGATATCTTCTCAAAGTGTAAGCCTGTAAATTCCAAGTGTAGGCTTGTGAGTGTTAGGAGGAGATCTTTCCTCAGAAACTGTAGTTAGTTCCTACATATCTTATTTGAGGAATCTCCATTATTCATGCAAGTTTTACGTCCAATTTTTTTTGTGTGTTGAGAATAGAAGTTCATGATAGCTACCTGCATGATGTACCACATTGACCATCTAATGCAGCTAACAACAGTGAGAGTCAAGCCTTTCAACCAGTTCTCGTGGACAACACTATTCCCTCTGTCGATATAGATGAGAGGATGCCCTAAGTTTTTCACAACAGGTCCTTTGTATATTGTCATGGTCATAACCCCAGCCAAGGAAACCATTGTTCCTAGGATTTTTGCTATTCACCCGAGGATCTCGGATGTTAGCATCTTCCAACCTACACAAATCTGTGATTTCAGCTATCTCTTGTTCATATGTTCCATGTAGAGTACATGACCCTGGATAGGAGAGTATGGAGATTGAGGATTAGGGAAGAAGGTTAGTAGGTAGTCGTGCGTTTCTCTGTCTCCGTTAGTTAGGTAGTATTAGTGTTAGTATGGTACCCTTTTATCCTAAGTTTGCTATTATCGCATATTTTGTTCTCTATTGCTATCAATGAGGTCAAGCAATGTTTTCTAGCTCTAGTACTATGATTTGGATCTCAATCATTCCAACCATGGACATTGCTTGACATTAAGCAAAGATAATGAAAAGGATAGGCAAATATTTTCCTTTTTTGTTTGTCAGGTACCAGGCTCGAACTCTTGACCTAGTGGCATGAAACGGGTAGGCCATGTTACTATGAGTTTGGGGCTAAATTTTAGGCATTGCTTGTGGTTGTTTCGAGAAATCTCAAAATACCATTTATCCTAACCATTCATTAGATCTCCTAATCTCTTCAATTAAATAGTCTCGGCACCTGCTTGTAATGAGCTATGTGATGGATTCACCTACAAATGCCAAATTACAGCCTGGACTATCAATCTCCATGAAATATGTTCTTCAATTCAAAGCATTCTGAGAAATGGAATTCAAAAAAACACTTGACTTCTCTGTCGAAGAAGTCCTTTATTCGCATAAATGTCAATCTTGTTAGGACACTAGTATTGCATTTAACTGTAAAATGTGCAGCCTTGTACTGGACTTCAAGTCTACAAGATGTTGCCTATAGAATAAGGCATTGATGCCGTATGTATCCTCTTAAGCTTACTCTCTTGTAATATATGAATCAGAGGAATACTAATTATGTATTTTGAAGAGAAAAGATAACCAAACAATTGTGTATATGTACAATATAAACTCTAGAACTAGACCTCCTCTCTATCGTTTACCTATCTAATCAGCATCCTAAAATATAAAATCAAACTTACAAAGCGGCTATGACTTAGTAAAAATATTTCAACTATCAAGTATCTTTCTCCAGCTCTTGTGATACTGCCCTCTTCCTGAAATGAAGAACAATCTCTCTGAGTTTGTGATGACTCTCGTGTCTCTCGTTTTGGAACCTTCTTATTTTGTCGAATGGCTAGCCATAGAATGTTTTTTTTTTTAAAAGTCCTGTGCAATAAGCTCCCGTTACGAGTGAGGTCGATGGCAGCAACTTCATCAGTTAGTCATAGAAGGGAGAAATTTAAAAATAGTCGGTCATTCAAAAATAGCTCAGTTTCAAAAGTAATCGAAATTTAGCCACTTTTTATGTAAAGATAAATTTGAGCGAAAACACTGTTCAAAATCCGGAAAATACGCCCGCATATTATACGGGAGTTCCAGGATAACTGTGTTGGAACTCCTGTATAATATGCGGGAGTTCAAGTATAATTATGCTGGAACTCCCGCATAATATAGTGGAGTTCCAGTAAGTATAAATGTCCAGTATAATATACTGGAGTTTGGAGCATCGGTGCTCCAATCTCCCGTATATTATACAGGAGTCTGCAAAGTATACCGGTCCAGCATAATATGCTGGAGTTCGTACACAAATGCACCGAACTCCCGTATATTATACGGGACCGGTCTCTGTTGCAGCAAAATAGTGGCTATTTTTCATTGACTTGGTAAACGCTGGCTATTTTTGATTGACCAGTACGAAAACCGGCTATACCGTACTATTTTGACGTCATAGAATGAATTGATGTTGTGATATCAGGGTTGGCCCCACGACAAGGTGCTTCCAAGGGGAACTTTTTGGTACTGCGGATAGAAGGAGAAGTAAGCGTTCTTAATGCTAAAATCACCTGCAGAGTTGAACTTTTCCCTTTTTCTTAAGCATTATTTAATAATATCATAATCAAAAGTTTGGTAAACTTTTTAACTTGGTACTTGGTAGCAGAGGCGGATCTAGCGTGAGAGTTACGGGTTCAATTGAACCCATAGCTTTTGACGCGGAGTAAAAATTTATATGTAAAAATTCTAGATTTGAACGCATAGAATTTAAAAATCTTAAAAATTGAACCCATAGAATTTAAATCCTGGATCCGCCTCTGCTTGGTAGTGTTTTCCTTTTTTGGTTCTAAACTGCATAAATCAAGATAAAAACTGAGAGTAAAGACAAGACTCCTTTGAAAAACAACTCAACATATGTCAAGTAATTGAAAAGTGACTACCATTCACCAGAAAATAAAAAAAAGCACAAAAACACCACCTAAAAAATATGTCCAAAATTGTCCACTATATTTGAACTTGGACTAAAAATGATTGTTTTCATGGAGTACGAGACAGAGGCGGATCTAAGATTTAAATTTTATGGGTTAATTAGTTTTAATATTTTTAACATTGAACTTATTATATTTTTAAAATTGTGGGTTCATATCTATTATTTTTACAAATTTAAAGAATTTTTACATACAAATTTTTACTCCGCGTCGAAAGTTATGGATTCAGTTGAACCCGTAGATTGGAAACTACATCCGCCTCTGGTACTAGAAGTCCACATATTTTTATCCCTCTAAGATTTGAGCTGCCAACCAACTCTTTTGACTGCGAGATATCAAAAAGAATGAACGAACAATAGAGGGGGGAAGCAGGGCGGATCTAGAGGTTACAATACGGGTTTCCGGGAACCCAGTAACTTTTGCATAGACCCTGTATTTATATTAAAAAATTCACTAAATATTTATAAATATCTAACTGTGAACCCAGTTACTATTGCATATTAATTTAAAAGTACGGTAGGAACCCATAAGCCTCAAATCCTGGATCCGCTTCTGGGAAAGCGATAAAAATTGGTTCCCTACGACGTTTTCTGTCTTCACGTTTTCTGAAAACCACTCTAGCCTTTGACGCAAGCTGTAGTACCCCGAGAATCTTTTCAAACCTTAGTCAGGGCTACTTGAGGTTCCTTTCATCTCTTCTTTCTTTAAGTGGTGACTCATGAGTGAGTTTTTAACCGAATCAACTTCTGCTTATTCACTCTGCTCAGCAACTGATATGTGTATCATGAAAATAGCGAGTTTTTTAATGGAATCAATTTTTGAATAATAACTCTCCCCAGTAGCTGATATGTTATCATGAAAATAGCTTTTGGCTGATCGAGTTCCAAGTCAATTGGTCTTGTGGCCCATTACAAAATTTGTTAGTTTTATGTCAAACAATTTGAGAGTTCTTTATATTTACACGTAAGAAAAAGAATCCGTAAATAAAACACAGGAGATCTTGACAAGATATTTTCTTTTTCTTCAACTTATAAAAGGTTATGTCGCACAATTTCCTAGATACGTTATCTAGGAGGATTTAACACAATCATAAAAAACATATGTTTATATAAATATACATTTAGGAGGTCGTTCAGTAGGTATAACTTAATTAGGAAACATAAAATTACAGTAAGTTAAATTTCATAGAGAATTGATCCTAACAATCCCCTCTATTTGTTTCCAAAGAGAATTGATCCTCACAAGGAAATGTTTCTCACTTTCCCAAGGGTGTGATGGGGATGGTAAAGTGGAATGAGAATACTAATTCAGGTTCATAGTACCTATATTATGAGAGTTAATAAGTACTTGTGGAACTAGTTGAGATGAGCAAGACCCCGAACATTATTGACGCAATTATCACAATTATAGAAAAAATTAAATAAATAAATGTTTCTCACTTTTTTAATTAGAGAGTTAAAGTTCAATATCTATAATCTTAAAAATTTCCTTTTGTGCTGGTGAAGAGGAAGTTTCATGTCTTCTTTTTATCCCGTAATTTTATATTTAATGGGTCATTGTTAATTTGTTTTTGTCAAAGGATGTGGACCATTACTCCATTAGTGCTTCAAGGGAAAGATATAATATCAATTTAAGGTTTAATTAAGTACTACAAATTTAGGGTTTTTTCTCCAAAAAAAAAAATACCCCTTCTGTTTCAGTTTATGTGAACCTATTTCTTTTTTGGTCCGTTTAGAAAAGAATGAACCCTTTCTAAATTTGGTAACAATTTAGCTTAAAGTTACAACTCTACCCTTAATGAGAAGCTTTTATAACCACATAAATACTCTGGCCCCATTTGGACTTGTTTAGGACCACAAATTTCAAAAGTCTTAATTTTTTTTTAAATTTCGTACCAGTCAAACAGGTTCACATAAATTGAAACGGAGGGAGTAATTTATTAAACGATGATTAGTTGTAATACACAAAAGCTACTGCTTTATTGTTTGAATTATTGTCTTTCTTTGTTGTAGTTTACAAACAAGTAGCAAAAGAAGACTTGGCTTGTGAAGGAGCAAACAATGGCCGACCCTGTAATTGGTGCTACAGTTCAAGTTTTGCTTGAGAAGCTACTTTCTCTAGCTATTGAAGAGGTCAGTAGCTCAAGGGACTGCAAGAATGATCTCAAAATGCTAACACAAAATATATCGATAATCCAAGCTTTCATTGACGATGCTGAAAGACGGCAACTTGAGGATCAGACTGTGGAAGAATGGCTCAAGCGTCTTGAGAAAGTTGCTGAAGATGCTGAATATGTGTTTGACGAATTCAGATATGAATCTCGTCGAAGACAAGTGAAGATCCGTAACAACCAAATGAGAAAGGTCAGTGGCTTCTTTTCTCATACAGTTTTTAAGAGCAAAATGTCTCAGAAAATCAACAATATCAAGGGGTGGAGGTCGATCGGGCGGTGGTCAGGCTCACTTTTATGCACTTTAGGGCAGGACAAATGCCATTGCTTCGGATGCTGTCATTACAAGTACTATTTCAGTCTGCCACATAGATGTCTCAATCTTATTTGACCTCGGTTCCACCTATTCTTATGTGTCCTCATATTTTGCTCATCATTTAGGTACGTCCCGATGGTGTCTTGCTTTACCTGTTCATGTATCTACCCCAGTGGGCGATACTATTGTTGTAGACCATGTATATCGGTCGTGCTTGGTGACTATTGGGGGTCTGGAGACCCGAGTTGATCTACTGCTATTGAGCACGGTGGATTTTGATGTTATTTTGGGCATGGACTGGCTATCTCCGTGTCATGCTATTCTAGACTGTCATGCTAAGACAGTCACCTTGGCTATACCGAGTGGCGTGGCGTGACTGACTATGTTCCCAGTAGGGTGATTTCATTCCTAAAGGTCCAGCGTATGGTTGGGAAGGGTTGTCTTTCATATTTGTCATTTGTGAGGGATGTTGGAGCCGAGACTCCTAGCATTGATTCTGTCCCAGTGGTGAGGGAGTTTCCCGATGTATTTCCTGCAGACCTGTCGGGCATGCTACCAGACAGGGATATTGATTTTGGTATTGACCTGGTGCCGGGTACTCAGCCCATTTCCATTCCACCATATCGCATGGCACCAGCAGAGTTGAAGGAATTGAAGGATCAGCTTCAGGAACTCCTAGATAAGGGGTTCATTCGTCCTAGTGTGTCACCGTGGGGTGCACCGGTTCTGTTTGTAAAAAAGAAGGATGGCACCATGAGAATGTGCATTGACTACATTCAATTGAACAAAGTAACGGTGAAGAACAAGTATCCCCTACCTTGCATTGATGATTTATTTGACCAGCTTCAAGGAGCGAGGGTGTTCTCCAAGATTGATCTCCGTTCGGGCTATTACCAGTTGAGGATCAGGGATTCAGATATTATGAAGACGGCTTTCAGGACTAGATATGGGCACTATGAGTTTCTTGTCATGTCTTTCGGGCTAACCAATGGCCCAGTAGCGTTCATGCATTTGATGAACAGTGTATTTTGGCCGTATCTGGATTCATTCGTTATTGTTTTCATTGATGATATTCTGGTGTACTCGTGTAGTCAGGAGGAGCACGCGCAGCATTTGCGAGTCGTTTTGCAGAGGTTGAGGGAGGAGAGGCTTTATGCAAAGTTCTCCAAGTGTGAGTTTTGGCTCAGTTCAGTGGCTTTCTTGGGGCACGTGTTGTCCAGCGAGGGTATTCAAGTCGACCCGTAGAAGATATAGGCGGTGCAGAGTTGGCCTAGACTGACTTTAGCCACAGAGATTCGTAGTTTCCTTGGGTTGGCAGGTTATTATCGCCGGTTTGTTCAGGGATTTTCCTCTATTGCATCGCCCTTGACCAAGTTGACTCAGAAGGGTGGTCCATTTGTATGGTCGGATGAGTGCGAGGAGAGATTTCAGAAGCTCAAGACAGCTTTGACCACAGCTCCAGTGTTGGTCTTGCCATCAGCTTCAGGTTCTTACACTGAATATTGTGATGCTTCGAGAATTGGGATCGGATGTGTATTGATGCAAGAGGGTAGAGTTATTGCTTATACTTCTCGTCAGTTGAAGTCCTACGAGAAGAACTACCCTGTTCATGAATTGGAGTTGGCTGCTATAGTTCATTCTTTGAAGATTTGGAGGCACTACTTGTATGGCGTATCTTGCGAGGTATTCACTGATCATTGCAGTCTTCAGCATCTGTTCAAGCAGAAAGATCTTAATTTGAGGCTGCGGAGGTGGCTAGATTTACATATGGATTATGATATTACCATTCTGTATCACCTGGGAAGGCCAATGTGGTGGCCGATGCTTTGAGCCAAAAGGCAGTTAGTATGGGGAGCTTGGCGTATATTCCAGTTGGGGAGAGGCCCCTTGCAGTTGATGTTCAGGCCTTGGCTAATCGTTTGGTGAGACTAGATATTTCGGAGCCTAGTCGGGTGTTGGCTTGTGTGGTTTCTCGGTCTTCCTTGTATGATCGCATCAGAGAGCGCCAGTATGATGATCCGCATTTGCTTGTCCTTAATGATAGGGTTTAGCATGATGATGCCAGAGACGTGACCATTGGTGATGATGGTGTGTTGAGGATGCAGGGCCGGATTTGTGTGCCCAATGTGGATGGGCTTCGGGAGTTGATATTGGAGGAGGCCCACAGCTCGCGGTATTCCATTCATCCGGGTGCTGCGAAGATGTATCAGGATTTGAGGCAACACTATTGGTGGAGAAGGATGAAGAAGGATATTGTAGAGTTTGTGGCTCGGTGTCTCAACTGTCAGCAGGTAAAAATGAGCATCAGAGGCCGGGTGGCGTACTTCAGCGGATGATTATTCCCGAGTGGAAGTGGGAGATGATTACTATGGATTTTGTGAGTGGTCTCCCTCGGACTTTGAAGAAGTTCGATTCGATTTGGGTGATTGTGGACCGGCTGACCAAGTCTGCGCACTTCATTTCGGTATGTACTAACTATTGTTCAGAGCGGCTGGCAGGGATCTTTATCCGGGAGATTGTCCAATTGCTTGGTGTTCTAGTGTTTATTATATCAGATAGGGGTACTCCGTTCACTTCTCAGTTCTGGAAGACTTTTCAGCGAGAGTTGGGTACGTAAGTGGAGTTGAGCACAACATTTCATCCTCAGACAGACGGGCAGTCCGAGCGTACGATATTGGAGGACATGTTGCGTGCCTGTGTGATTGATTTTGGAGGTTCTTGGGATGAGTTTTTGTCGCTTGCAGAGTTTTCCTACAACAATAGTTATCAGTCGAGCATTTAGATGGCTCCATATGAGGCGTTGTATGGGAGGCGGTGTAGATCTCCGGTTGGATGGTTCGAGTCCGGCGAGGCTAGGCTATTGGGGACAGAGTTGGTTCACGATGCCTTAGAGAAGGTGAAGCTGATTCAGAAGAGGCTTCGTACAGCACAGTCGCGTCAGAAGAGTTATGCGGACCGGAAGGTTCGGGATGTGTCTTATATGGTTGGTGAGAAGGTCTTGCTGAAGGTTTCTCCTATGAAGGGTGTTATGCGGTTTGGAAAGAAAGGGAAGCTGAGTCTGCGGGTTTATTGGACCTTTTGAGGTATTTAGGAGGATTGGGGAGGTGGCTTATGAGCTTGCCTTGCCACCCAGCTCGTCGGGCGTGCATCTGGTATTTCATGTATCTATGCTCCGGAAGTATGTTGGGGACCCGTCTCATGTATTGGATTTCAGCACTGTTCAGTTGGATGATGGTTTGACCTATGATGTGGAGCCAGTGGCTATTTTGGGTCGTCAGGTTCGAAAGTTGAGATCAAAGGATATAGCTTCGGTGAAAGTGAAGTGGAGAGGTCGGCCCGTGGAGGAGGCTACTTGGGAGATCGAGAGGGAGATGCAGAGCAAATATCCTCACTTGTTTGAGGCTTCAGGTATGTTTCTTGACCCGCTCGAGGACGAGCGTTTGTTTTAGTTGGGGAGAATGTGACGACCCGGCCCGTCGTCATGTGAGTTACCTCCCCGTTTTCCCCATTTTCTGCTTCCTTATGTTTCATTATAAGAGTCTTGGGTGAATGAGTCGAATTGGGTTGGTTTTAGAAGGAAATGAGACACTTAGTCTCTTTAAGGAAGGCTTATTTTGGAAAAGTCAGCCAGATGTTGACTTATGAGTTAGAGTGCTCGGATGTGATTTCCGGTGATTTGGTTAGCTTCGGGGGATAATTTGTGACTTAGAAGTGTGATTGAAATTGATTTTGGAGGTCCGGTGTAGAATTAGGCTTGAATTGGCGAAGTTAGTATTTTGGCGAATTCCGGTTGATAGGTGAGATTTTGATCCGACGGTCGGAATGGAATTCCGAGAGTTGCTGTAGCTTTGTTAGGTGATTTGGGATGTGTGTTCAAAATTTCAGGTCATTCGGAGGTGTGTTGGTCTGGTTTTTGATCAAATGCGTATTTCGGAAGTTTTAGAAGAACTTAGTCTTGAATCCGATGTAATTTGATGGTTTTGGTGTTGTTTGTGGTGTTTTGATGATTGGAGCAAGTTTTAATGAGGTTTTAGGACGGGTTGGCACTTTTGGTGAAGGTCCCGGGGGCCTCGGGGTGATTTCGGATGGCCATCGGGATGAATTTTGGACTTGTTGCATTTCTGAAATTGCTGGTACTGGTATTTCCAAATTTGCGGAAAAGGGCCGCAGATGCGGTTTCGCAGATGCGAAGATAGGATCGCAGGTGCGGGTGTTGGCCATTTGGAGAAATTCCGCAGAGGCGGATGATTTCCGCATGTGCGTTCCCCGCAGATGCGGTTATTGACCGCAGAAGTGATCCGTGTATGTAGGGGAGGTTCCGCAGAAGCGGACGCTTGACTGCAGAAGCGGTGTTCGCAGAAGCGGAGATGGACCGCAGAAGCGGTTCTGGGCATAGTGAAGATCCGCAGAAGCGGAGGCAAAACCGCAGAAGCGGTAACCGCATATGCGGTAAAGTAATCGCAGATGCGAAAAGGGCTGGACAGAAAGGGTTTTAAATGATTCATTTTGTTCCGCGAGCTAAGGAATCTTTCCACCATTTTTGAGCAAACTTAAGAGCTTTTGGATGAGAAATGAAGGTGATTTCGACTGGGTGTGATTGGAGGTGAGTTCTATGACCTAAATACATGATTTAATGGTAGAATTAACCTAGAAATTTATGAAAATTCATCAAAAAGGGGGAAAAGCTAGGGCTTGGAATTTGATATTTCAGAGTGGGATTTGATGGTTCATTTGGGCTCGGATTTGGGAGTTTTTGGTATGTATAGACTCGTGGCGAGATAAGGAATCCGATAATGTAAAATTTTCTGATTTTCGAGAAGTGGTCCCGGGGCTCGGGTTTGGCAAATTTCGTGAATTTCAATATTTTTCGAGTCCTT